ATTAACATCTTTCAACGAATTACGGAAATTATAATTTAGAATCTCCCACTTGCTTCATTTAATAACAAATATATATATTAATATAGTTGATGGGCGTGACATAAAAAGGTTGCAGTGACGTATCATGAGTGGGGGAAGGGCAGTGTTGCGAAAATTGGAATTCTTAAATGTGCGATACTTGAGTTCATGTCTTGTTAAGTAACTTTGGTAGATGGGAAGTTCGCACATTACTGTCCCCATTGTTTGGCGAGATATAATTTGTATTTATAGATTTTGTTGTGATGAGATGATTTTATACTTTAAATCGTTTTACCGACTAATTCCTGACACGCATGGCTGTTTGCAAGACTCTTCAAATTGGTAAGGGCTAATCGCAATCGCGTGAATGGTGTAGAGGCGCATACGGTTTGAAATTATATTTATATAGCTCATATGAGAAAAAACGAACATAAGGGCCCCTGGCTCAAAACGTAGCATTTTAAAACGGTTGTAATAATTCAAAAAACTTTGTGGGCGATTGCACATCTCACCAAAGTTTTATCGCGTTCAAATAAATGGCGTATATGAGCGCACACGGAAATTACTTTTTAAAAAACTCGCATAAGAAAAAATACGAATTTGGGGCCAACGACCGAAAACGGAACATTTTAAAAGTGTTGTTATCATGCTCATAAATGGCTATATACTATAAATATATATTTTTAATATTGTAGGCCCAGTGCTAGTTATAGTAGGTGGAAACAAGCTTAACTTAATTTTTTGTTATAGTAATGATTTCTGTATTCTAGAATTGCATTACAACAACAACAAAAATGATTAGATTTATTCAAATACTAGCCTATATACCCGGCGTGGCCCGGGATTGCATTAGGACTCCATCCTGGTGTGACCCCTTATCCCATTGGGACCCTGATCCCATTCTCGGCGCAATCCCGTTTCCCGGTGTGATCCCAACCCCGGTGGATCCATTCAAGGTTAACATCCCGATCCCGATGGGATCCCGTTTTCTGGTGGGATCCTGATCCCGTTGGGATAAACATTATGATGGGATCCCGACAGATTTTGGATCCCGTATCAAAAATTCTTCAGTGGTACTGAGAGAACAGTGAACTCCTGGGCAGTATAGAAATGAATAGAACTAACAAACATTTCAATAATCCCTTTGATCCCACTATTTATCTCCTTGTAACAATTTATACTTTTCTGGAATATTCTAATATTAAATTTAACATCCTGCTCAAAACATGCGTAAAAACTGCTTTTTATTATTTTGAATCCGATAAAATCTTCAACAAATGCCATAAGTATAATCCTTTTTTTAAAGTTAATTAATATCTCATATATCTTCGTGAAAATACAAACAATGTTAACATTTATTTTGTTTCGTCGGGTGATCTGTGTGTGTGAGAGGGGGGGGGGGGGTTTGTGGATGTGTGATAAAAATCTAAATGGACTGACATCCAAGGTGAAATTGACTATTTCAAAGTTAATCCCGATCCAATTTGTTCCCAACAAGTTCGGTTGGTTTAAAAATGGAGTTAAGACGTTTTTAGCTACCGGATGGCCAAAGTGACACTGCGAAAAAAAGTTGGGGGTGGGGGGTGGGGGGGGGGTCACTTTCTTGGGTAAATTGTCTGAGAGTCACTTAAGACAAATAAAAATTGTCAGATCAGTTGTTCCGTCATTTTTTCGCGGTGCTTAGAACGTCTGTGAAAAGTAGTTTTGAAATATTTAAATCTTTCGACCTCGGTTTCGGCCCAAAGTATCGTTAAACACTTTGTTTCGGCCGAAAGTCTTGTTAAGCTTTGGTTTTGGCCTCAGTTTCAGCCGAATATCATTTTTAACTTTAGGTGTGGTTTCAGTTTCGTAAAAAAATCTCTTTCGGTCGGTCTCTAGTTTGAACCACTTGAAATAGAAAGTTTATCTGTTTTGTTTTTCTTTTTTAAAAAACATTTAAATGACACTTTTTTGACAACTGTGGTGTTTTTATATTATTAAAAATGATTTTAAACTTTAACCCTCTATTACGCAATTTTAGTTTTTTATGGAAAAAAATTTTTTGATGGCATACTTCATAGTTATTGGACTTAAATAAACATAATATGCAAGAAAAATAATTTTTTAAAATGAAATAATGATTTTATTGGTATGTTGCCATATGGCAACAGTGCGTCTTAAAGGTCAGAAAAGTAAAACTGAACAAGAAAAGGAAACGATAACAATAATATTTGTAAAAGGTGAATATTTAATCGTTTACACAAACAATGGTCCTCAGTACTTAGTTTACAAGCATATCTTCATATTATGCTTTTATATCATGAAAAAGATCATTATAAAAATCATATTTTATAAGCATTTTTTACACAAAAATATAGAAAATCATGTAATCAATATATAGAGCATATAGAGGGACAGTAAATATTTATATACATATGTGAAATGCAGGTTTAATGCTGGTGGAACTGTTTGAAGCAATGTCAACTTTACATTATGCACATTTTATTCTTGAAAATTCTTTTCAACCTGGTCTCTTGCATCTTCCTTTGTTTTCAAGTGGCTCAGGAAAGTGCCAAATATAATCAGCTCTTACTGGTAAGGGTGGAAAAGCTGCAATAGGACCACTCAAATTTTTAGCTGTAAGTTGAGGCTCTATATCCAATAAAGGACTGCCAAGTTTCCTAAACCCTGCTTTACCTTCTTTCATTAGGCATATGGCCATCTTGGTGTTGAAATCAAGTACACCGAGGATATTTTTTGTCGCGATTCGCATTAGTACAATCAGCCTATAGATCAGCCATGCCAGCACAACTGCCATACTGGTATCCAGAAAGTGGAATATTATACAGTGATACTATTTTTTGGACCTTACTGGTATCCTGTATACGGCCAACAGTGAAGCGAGAAGATCCACACCACCCATGAATTTATTGTAAACCATGATTACCGATGGACAAGTTACCTAGATTTCCCTTTTAGCCTTTTGTCCCATCTTTTGACCC